AAACAATGTTGTGCTTATTTCTTGGTGCATGCGAAAATCTTCCAGATAATGCAAGTCACCATCCACTACAACATTGTTGTACACTGCACTTGACCATTCAACATGTTTACCATATGCTTCACATACAATCAAAGCCTATAACACAAATAACATGACTGTATGGTAATCTATAAATTCTAACATCAGTATGCTGCAGCAGTTGACTGCAGTAATTTATAAGTGCTAACATCACCAGTATGCTGCAGCAGTTGACTGGTAATTTATGAGTGCTAACATCATCAGTACGCTGCAGCAGTTGACTGTGATAATAGTGCTGACATCGTCAATATGCTGCAGCAGTTGACTGATAATTTATAAGTGCTAACATCATCAGTATGCTGCAGCAGTTGGCTGCGATAATTTATAAGTGCTAACATCGTCAATATGCTGCAGTAATTTATAAGTGCTAACATCGTCAATATGCTGCAGCAGTTGACTGCGGTAATTTATAAGTGCTAACATCATCAGTTGGCTGCAGCAGTTGACTGCGGTAATTTATAAGTGCTAACATTATCAGTACGCTGCAGCAGTTGACTGCAGTAATTTATAAGTGCTAACATCATCAGTATGCTGCAGCAGTTGGCTGCGATAATTTATAAGTGCTAACATCGTCAATATGCTGCAGCAGTTGACTGCGGTAATTTATAAGTGCTAACATCAGTATGCTGCAGCAGTTGACTGCGGTAATTTATAAGTGCTAACATCAGTATGCTGCAGCAGTTGACTGCGGTAATTTACAAGTGCTAACATCATCAGTTGGCTGCAGCAGTTGACTGTGGTAATTTATACATTAAGTGCTAATATTTTCAATATGCTGTAGCAATTTATAAGTGCTAACTGTGTCAATATGCTGTAGTAGGTTGCAGCAGTTGACTGCATTCATTTATAATGGCTAATTCCCTATTGCAGTTGGTAGAAGTGACATCCAATGACACAAAAAGTGGACTGATACATGAGGATTTGCTGAACGTTGCGTCGACTAAAACTCGCACATCCTATCTCCGACATTGGTAGCTGTTGCTCTTTGTGTTTTCCCCCACAATATACACAAAGCAATGACAAATTTTATCCACTCAAACACTGGATTCAAATGTGGATCACAGCAAGCACCTCGCCTATAATTGCATATTGTATTGTCCAACTTACCTCGTAAAACTTTGGATGTGTAGCGACAAAAAATACCACCTCCCTCTGACTCAAATTAATGACTTTAGTTCTTGTAGATAGTAGATGTATCTGTAATGCTATCAATCTGGCTTTTTTCACACATGACTCAGCGTGTCGCAGACATCCCTCCTAGGGGGTTCAGAAATATATACCTGACATCAATCAACCCATCAAACATTGACACACGCTTGAAAATTGAGACTAAGTACCATTCTTTATATATTATATTGGTAGATAAAGCCATACATTGAGACAAAATTTTTTTAATTGAATATTATATCATGAATAATCATCTTTTTCATGTTTTCATTATTATGGGTTAATTCACCCAAAAATTAAAAAAATTGTTCGCCAGACAATATAGTCTGAAATGACAAATTGTGCATTTTTTGCATTCTAGTGTTTCTGTGGTGAAATTATTTCTATTAGCAAGTTTCTGTTGTGATAATAGTTGTCCATTGTATGAAAAGTGAACTGTCACTACAATTATCAAAGCACATTGCACAGTAACATGCTCAGTAGTGAAAAATTTGAATTCAGTGAGAACTGCCTAAAAGCATTTATTTATTAATCTATTACTGATTACTCCAACTTACAATTTTGTAGCACAGAGACTGAAGTAATTATATTTACATAAATGTTGTAGTGATTCAGATGCGAACCTTAAATGAACATATATAATGACAACCAACGCACTCTGTAGAGGCAGCATTGGATTGTATGGCAGGCACACTTTAAAATGTGTCAGCATTGCATTAACAGCTGAATGTTAATATATTACTAAATGTTACACAAAAATGTGTGCCTGTACGTAGACTGGATCCATGTACTACTTACTTTAACATAGCTATCTGCAGCATCGGAAAATAGATTCAGAATTCTTTGCAACTTTTCCTGCAAGTCTGGGTTAGCTTCTGAAATAAGAACCATGATTATGATATTAGTCTAGTGTCAACTGAGTTTATAATACTTGTTGTGTTATGCAATTTTAGGCAATAGATATATGCTGTTGCAGCTCTAAGGACAATCAATGAATGTATGTCATTGCCCTAATGACCAGTCAATAGATGTATGTCATTGC